ACTAATCTTGGTATTATGATTTAAAGTCATCTGGATTTTCATTGTTACAGATTTCCTTAAGGTATTACACTATGTATGTATCTCTAAATCGTAAACCTAGATTATGGGACGTCGTGGACTGATGAACTACAGATTCTACATTGTTTATGAATGAATGACTGACGAACTAATTGACTGAGTCCAATTATAAATATTCGCACTATCCGAGATTCTAAGCAATAAAAGTGTTTACTCATTTTATTTTTTAATTAAATATTATCATTAGGTCACAGAACAAATGACTAAAATTTTAAAGTACTCGTCATGAAAATTTTTAGAATTGTTATTGGCTAAATAAATTAATTCGAAACAAAAGGGAGACAAATATAAAGAGCGTCCTTTGAATTCTTCAATTGAAAAAGAGTAGACTGAACTTTGTTTATTCATGTAACTGAATACACAGACAGTAAATTCCAATTAACCTCATATTTATTTGCCTTTACTTTCTTGATGAAGTAAGTCTTGACGTGAGCTCAACACTAGCGCCTGTAAAACAAGAATTAAAGTGTAAAGCTTTTAGATAAAAAGATTCAATTAGAAAACAAATTATACGGCTCATTAATGATTGAACTCCTCTCCAATTTATCAAGCAATAACTAGAATCAGTACATTAAATTTAACTTGGTAAGTTGAAACTCATTCTTTAAATCATACTAAGCTAACTCAATTTTCAATTCTGTTTTGAAAATCTATTGATGCAATTAGTAATATTACTACTATGAGCCATATCATTTACATGAGACCTAGTGATACAATCCAGTTGGTCAAACTATACTAGATGCAGTGACGTCGAGATTTGAGATCCACTGGTTGAAAGATGATCGCTTCCTTTAATAAGCCAATGCAGCACACTCAAACTTTCAAATAATCGGTGTTACTAGAATTCAAAACCGGGTACATGAACATGTACCATAATGGAATGACTACAAATAACTTCTACTTCAAAAAAGAGTAATTTCATAACTATCACGTACTTGAAACATAATATCTGTTTATCGACCCCCAATAACAGATAGTTAGTACAAGTTTAAATGAGAAAATAACAACAACTAAAATAGATAACACCTTATCCGACATATTCTTAAACTGTATCTTACACTTTTGAATTTATATAACTGTGTGTTGACAAAGGTTGACTATCCAACTGATAAGTCATGCTGATTGAACGCTATATTCGGTTCCTAAGCTATTCTTGTAACCCCCAAGCTAGAACTACACAGCGACCTGAGCACGAGAGAAAAGGTGCAAAATATGCGAGAGGCACTTTACCCCAAAGGTTCGTTCTAGTACAGAAAACATAGGGTTTTCATAGTATTTTAGATGTCCTTGAGTTTCCCGAAGATTCTGGAATGCTACTACTAAACAAAGTAGCATGATAGTAATCATCCAATCAGAAACTCTACACGTGACTTTTCACTTTATTGATGTTTCTGGCTAAACTACAAGTGAACGCTGATTGGATAAAATGCTTCTTTGTATTTTCCTGATCCTTCCTTGTCTTTTGCAAAACGTTCTCTGGATCAACCCAACACCTCCTCCCCTTCCAAAAAATTAGACCTCTTCTTCGGGTCTACTTGCAGCTTGATAACTGATTTTCTGCGGCGTCCGGACTTTCTTAGTATCCAGCGTCTATGAGCGTATGTTAAGGTTCCTGTCATTGGAGTATCTGTACTTATATCTAACGGAAGCCTCACTTGATTATCTACCGTGTCTAGAGTCCTTTTCTCTCTGTGTATTTGATTAATGTGTCTAATCCAAACTCCGAAAGACCCAAGCACTTTGTATAGAACATTTCCCATTTTCTCCTCAACGACTTCCGGTTCCCAACGATTTTTCCCAATGTTTGACTTGACGAGCACTTTATCACCGACGTTAGAACTCCGGATATTCTGGTTTTGTCTGCATCCATCCATTGGTTTAGGTGGTAACATGACGTCAAACATCGCTTCAGCAGAGGATTTCCTATCTGGGACGAAAGGGTTAGGCTTAGTTTTATAAGCTGTTAAGAATTTCGTAATTACCTGACTTGTCCCCTCTCCTTCCCCTTTCAGTAGTGCTCTTTTGAATGTGTCCTTCCTAACTTTCGACGTACCGATGTTGTTGCAGATCGAGTTTATGGGGCGGTCTGTTAACTTCAGCCTTTCTATCCAACCAAGCCCCAATAAGTCGAGTGATGGACAGTTTGTTTGAAAAATTACACCCTTCTCCGTAAACTCTTTGACTGTGACTTCACAATGAATCTCACCAGGGACGTTTAGAATCTCCCCAGATGCACTCTGTGCTGATTGATGAGTTGCATATATTCTCGGTTTCTCAATTTTCTCCCACGTTCTCCTGCTTATAAGTGTTATATCGGAGGCTGTGTCTAACTGTAAGCGGGCATAATACCCATTAATCTTGAGAGAAACATACTTTCTACGGTTATGGGAGCCGGTTTCGTGAAGAGCTACTGTTACTTTAGTTGTTTGTGGCTTGAATCTTTTAGAATACACTTTCTGTTGATGGCGTTTCCGGGTTTAGCAATGACTTTCTTTGTGCCTTTTTCTGGAACACAGTACATAGTTTTTATTGATGCAAATACATTTTACGTTTAGTTATAGCCTTTGTATATTTAACAGGCACCAAGTGTTCAAAGTCTGTCAGTATGTATTGCGTTCATGTCTGGCAGATGATACTGACTGAATCTTATATGGTAATATTGAATAGTTCAAAACATACTTTTCAGAATTTTCAGACAAACAAAATTAGGTAAATTACTTAAAATTGTTATATAAAATGAAACGCCACTAATATCTAATCAAGTGACACAAAAAAGACAAGTCTGTGAAAGAAAACCAAAGTACCTTATTTGCTTCAATAGTTTTTGTCCAGTCACGAGCGCCAATCAGTCTCACAGCTTCTAATAAGAGTTTTCTAACTTGACCAACACTTTTATTAAACTGTTCCAAGACCATGTCAACACAGACCTGGTAAAAACAAAATAATATATCAAAAATGAGTTTGTTGGTATCAATGCCAAGGTTGGACTTCATAGTTTCAAACAAATTGTATTATTTATTTATATATTTGAACACATAAATATTGGTACAAGAGTGCGCCAAATATATATGCGCCACACAAAACAATGAGGATTTAAAGAGAAGGAAAAATAAAAAAGGTAAGGAGCGTTAGAAAAATGAGAACGATAACGAAGAGATTGGTGTAAGGTAGTGTATTAATAATAATAATAATAATAATAATAATGGGGGAACGGAACGGTACAATCAGAAGAAATCCTTCAGTTAAGGAAGATACAACCACTTTTTACGAAGAAAGTAAAAGAAGGTTACAGTAGGATCGCCACTGACTTCTATTCTGAGCCATTTCTGATAACGTCTCTAACCACTATGTAGCACCATCTCTCGGACCCCAACCAGGGAGTCGTGAAGGACCAACACAAGCCAGTCCTTTGCAGCTTTCTTCCATGCCACGACACCATGTCATACACTGGCCACCTCTCCGCTTTTTCCAGCCAATCCCGGTGTCGGCAAATAATGCACAACGTGGAATTCTCTGGGACGACATTCGTAGAACATGATCAAGCCACCGAAGTCGGTGTTTCAAGATGGTGACACCGAATCCATTATCGTCTCTGTGCCCGAACACACAATGCTGAACCTCTGTATTACTAACATGGTGTTGCCACTGGATGTCAGCAATCCTTCGGAGACAACGATGATCGAACACAAAGAGTCGTCTAACGTCCTCAACTCGGAGAGGCCAGGTTTCACAAGCATAGAGCAAAACTGCTCTCACCGACGCGTTGTAGATCCGACCTTTTACAGCCAGACTAGCATCACGAAGGCGCCAAAGATGGCCCAGATTGGCATAAGCCGCTCTGGCTTTCACTATACATGAATCGGTCTCATCACGCACGCCACCACCAGCACTTATGCAGCTACCTAGATACACGAACCACACATCATTTCAAGCACCATATGACAGTCATCCGGACTTATTCTTCAGGACTTTCGATGGTTTTCTTTCAGCGTCAGTCAGTCAGCTACAACGTAGGACCAGGCACATATGTGCATCGGTCCAGGTTGCCATACCTCATTAGCACAGCAAGATGAACACCGGATTCATAGGAGTGGTTAGGTCAAAGGTAGTAATATATAGGAGAAAGATTGCATATAGAGATATAGTACAAGAAGAAAAAAATTGGTTCGTAGAAAGAAAGGTATGAAGTGATTTTAATCTCTTAGTTTAAGGGAAGACAGGGAGTGTATACACCGACGCCATTGTGATCGATTCTGAGCCATGTCACCAAGAGTCTCCAACCATTGGTTACGAAAGTCACGCGGACCCCAACCAAGTAGTCTGCATCTACCAACATGGCTCAGACTAGAAGTTAGTGACTTCAGGCACTGATGCCACGTTTTGGTTTCAGTGCCTGAAGTCACTTTCAGCGTATCTTGCAGATTACGGTTTCTCATATCTAGCTCTAATATCCAAGGTTCATTTAGATATCGACCTTTTTTTACATCAGTGAGGTTTCTGATAATAGGATGTTTGCTTTAAGGTTGCTCTCAATGAAGGATATCCAATTTATATTGCAGTTCGTCACCCATGCCCCCAAATGCCCTGGTATGGCCGAGAGCCGGGTGGGTTCGCCCTCCCTCTTGAAATACTCTCACACGGCCACGCGTACACAGCCTCTGCCAGGGAATTCCTACTCACTGCCTTCTTGTGGAGGGGGTGTTGTTTAGGAAAATGAGAGCACGAAAAGCGAATGTCCGGCGCTTTAACCGGATCCCAAACCAAATCAATGGTGCACATGGGCTCCAGTATCCTGCGGGAACAAATGGCATATGAACCAATTTTCGGTCACCGGCTACCATGGGACTGCATCTCCTTACGATGCTCCACTGACTTGTGGGTTATACTTTTAGGTCAAAGGCTCGGGGTGTGGCCCCCTAAGAAAACCACCTGCTTCGGTCTGGGCACCCGGGCAGTATCACAACCCAAACATAAATGATGAACTGTCAAATAAATTGAACATTCTGTGGAAAGTTAATAATATACATGTAAACCGAGAAAGGATTTATGTCTCATATTTAGTAAAACCAGCCTTTAGATGGTTATAGAGGTTTTATGTTGGTCGGAAATTAAGGTCACCCATCAGTGAATATGAGTTATTTGAGTGCCGGATAATTTTCTCTACTAGTTTTGTTTAATTATCGATTGCATAAAAGACTGTATCCAATGTTACCCTTGGGAGAACATAATTTACTAAAAGTAATAACTTTATTCTATTCAATGAAATGAACTAGAAATCAGATCCTAGGTATTCAACTACCTGTAATAATTATTCAGCTTTTAGCTGTTTAAAGTTTCAATAGTGCAATGCAATATGACAATATGTCTTTCATAAAACATCATTTGATTATTCAGACGATCAGTAACATAGAATGAATAAAAGGCGTTGTTATAACAGGCTCAGTTAATATTCCCACAGTTGTAGTCTAATTCTATGCTTAAATTATTATCCATCAATCAAACAGGAAACATGAATGACAATGATTCCAGTCAAAAAGAAACCAGCTAATTATGCCATCTAATTTCTATCAGAAATTAAACTCCATTACCAACTAATTATCCATCTATTTAGTGAAAAGATTGATATTTGGTTGATTAGTCAACAATAAGAATTATAATGTGCCACGCATATTAAGTAAAGGGTTACATACTCGGATTTGAGTCACACTAATTTGTGAAAGGAATAGTAATACTACCTAACTGACAAAACAGAAGTGGACTTAGATTCGAATCTGAAATCAACTGGTTGAAAAAACTGAGTGCTTTAATTACTAAGTCACAGAAATCCCTAGATTTTTTCCTATCGATTATGAACCAGTATAAACTGAAGTAGCTCGGTATACTAAATAACAACTAATAATGATTATACTTTAGTTTAGTACTTCCTAGAAATACAATTTTTAAGAATGCATGAATATCCTCAAATTTAAAGACGAATAAAATCACAATTTTATTGAAATCCACAACCCCATACTGAGAATATAACAAAATTATTGGACATCCTTATGTATGTATCTGTAAAATAATATACAAAGGTAACCAGTAAATATTAACTTCCTCACGTGTTCCTCATCTGCTTTCCAACAATCAAAATCTGTAACAATTGCTATAGAAGCATAACTTAAGCCAGCTTCACGAGCTAAAGAAACTTCAGGAACTAATGTCATATTGATCAAATCGAAACCCCATTTTTGGAATAACAATGATTCGCAACGAGTTGAGAAACGTGGGCCATTAATCGTAATTACAGAACCTTCAGTATGTACACACGGATGATTGATAATTGTATCTGAACTACACGTTTTATCACGAATAGTCAGTGATAGATTTTTAGCTGCTTTGATTAGAACCTGAAAAAATGAAGTATACAAAGAAGTTGGTGTTGAACTATCAAGTAAATTCAAACATTCCATCTGCAGTTTCATGATTTAATCAACTGCATAATGGAGACTGGATAATGACTGACTAATTATTATGTATGCTTAGAATTATTAACTACGAAATAAAACGAAGTACGATCAAACCATGAAAATACGCCTCAGTTAGACGGAATGCAAGGGTATGTGTGGAGGAATATTGAAACTGAAGATTAAGAGAAAGATAGAATAAATGCGTTTGCAATATTGCGAACGGGTTGATGAGAGAACTTTGACGGATAGTGTGGACTTACCGCCATACCTAAGACCGAAATTCAATGATTTTATGGACTAATGACACGTCTTGGGTTGGCGACCCATAGTTTTGTTCCATATTACTCCTACACCATTTAACATTGTACGTTAAAGTAGTACGCTATGTTTAACTTCAGAACTCATTCAGTCTTTCTGTGATATGTGAGTAATGCTATGAAAATACCTATGATCAGAAACTAGTTGTCTACGCATGTCTTTGATCATTATTTACAGCCTCAAAATACAGAGGAAATTGTTGTACAGTATACACACGCTATGGTTAGCAGACGGACATTTCACCTATACCACAAGTGACTCACGTTGGCAAAGGTCAACTGAGCTATTCGAATCCGTGCTGAGATTTCCTCAGACACTAAACCACAAAGGCTGATGAAATTCCCAAGGTGAGTGGAATAGTCAATGTACTCAACTACTACAATCCTTACCATTGTATTAAGTGTTGACGCAAACTAGTCAAGAAGCAGCACTTAGAATTTCGAAGAATAGAAACTCATCACGAACATGCTTATGTTTTTGCCCAAGGTGACCAATAGATTTTGAATTTTGTCAACATCTTTACCAAATAGAACTGTATCGCCTGTCTATTTTAAGTCCATAAGTAGTAGGACAGTAACCCCTGGAAAGTTAAGTGAGGTGCGATTTCATAAAATCTCCGGTCACTAAAAAGACACAAATAGTCCAGAAAACTTTATGGAATTTCGCTCTCTGAGTTGGATGGTTTGTCAGAAGTCTACTTGGAGTTTGTGCTGATGATGTCGTTCAGAATAACGATGAGAGCTCCACCATCAAACCATCCCGATCAAACAACAAAACTCCATCAAAATCATCCACCTGAGCTACAAATCTTCTCTACCACTCCAGGAAACCTATATATTTCCCAGAAATATGAGAATATCCTGTGACTAACATTGTTGTTGTTTGTTAAAGGTAAATAGAATTCATTGTTATATACTGTTGTTAAGTTCGTTCTTATTCACTGACCTTATTCTCCTTCCGTCAACCCTCTTTTGTGTATTGTTTCGTACTACTTATTAATATTCAGTAAACAGATGTGTTTTTGGCAATTTCAACGCGCAAGTTTAACGTCTAACATTCCATAATATATACATACACTTATAACATTCATTGTATTTATCACTATAATCAATTTCTTTCAACTCTTATAGCAGTTATTCGCAACTTTGCATAGTCGTTTAATCCTTGTTTAAACTCAACAGTTTCCATATTGTTCGCTCTTGGTTTTGTTCTTGGTTGTTGATTAACTGTTATCAGATACAGCTATCTGCTGTCGTTTGCATTATCGTATGTTGTAATTATTCCTTATGTTGTTATTGCAGGAAGACCTTTTCATTTCAAACTCACAGAAGCGCTAGGAGTCACAGATACCTCACAATTTGATTTTTGTAACTAATTTATGTATATCACTCAACAGAGAACCGCTTTTTAGACAAATCGTCGTTTTGTGAAATTTGATTTCGCGCGTATCTCAATCGTGTGATTAGACGCTTCGATAGGTTTAACAACTGTTAAAAAACATTTGAAGGTTGTTTAATATTTTCAATCCAAGCAGAAGAACCACCAGCACGTGACAGGATCTTATAACATAAACATTCAAAAAGCACCACTGAAGACAAACCATACAAGGTTGTACAGTTGTGAAGCTTAGTGCCAAAGTAATAAAAACTATCTAGACCAAACAGCTAATATCTCCAAGTGAATTACGTTAACCCTTGACTAGAAACACGAAACGAGTCTCTCTAGTTAATTATCCAAAAACTCACCTGACGTGTTTCTTCACAAAATGGGTCTGCCATCGGCATATGTAAGACTCCTTTCAGTGAACCAGGCCCACTTCCATAAAACGTAAGCTCTCGATTTCGAGTATTATCGTAAAACTGGTTGAGAACAACGAAATCACCAGGTTTTTTGTCTTTCTGAAGACTACCACAAGCGTTAGTGGCTAATATGTGAGTACACCCAAGTTCTTTTAACGCCCAAATGTTGGCCCGATAATTGATCTCACTTGGCGGAAGTAAATGTTCCTTTCCATGCCTGCAAGACAAAAGTGATCAAGTCATTCATAATTCATATTAGTGTTATCGAACAGAGAAGTCGTTAGCTTTCATCACGCAAAAAAGTACCTATACACTAAGAACTAACATTCATTTCAATAACATGTAAGTTTAGGTGTAAATATTTTTAAAGCTTTGTGTAGAGTTCCAAAGATCCAGTATAGATAATTGTTGCATTAAGCTTCAAAATACCTTTGTAATTATACATGAATGATCACGATGACTTATACATCCAGCGTTTGAAGATGCTGATGTAATTTTGTGTGCAAACATTTCTCGGAATTAGACTATTTAGCTAGCTTTCCAAAACTGTTTGGTATGATGTTGTGGATAATTAGTTTTTAATAAATCGAAAACAATATGATGTAATAGGGACTTATTCAAAAATGAAACATCGATTTGGGTGGCGAATATCTAGCAAATATTGGAAATAGATTCACTTGAACAAAGACCACGAATTATGTTGGACTGATAATATTCAGTTGACGCTTGATGGTCAGGTATACAGACAGTTCACTAAAAGGGAGATCCAATAACTGGATGCAGTTTTTATTCATGTAAAGTGCTTCTACAAGATTGATAAGAGATTCGGTGAATAATTGTCATAGATGAAAAAAAAATTCAGTTTCATATAACAACAGCCAAAATTATTTATGGTAAAGTGCGCCAGCTTTGGTGCTATTAAACGATCAGTGTTGCGTCAAAACGTTGTAGTGCGAGTGGTTCTGATCAACCTTTGTTAAACCTGGTATTTTCGAGCTGAAGGTGTTAAAATAATGGGCTAACTTACAGTATACAACCAAACCAATGAAAAACGAGGTAAGTTGTGAAACAATTATCAAAATAAGGTTAGGAATTTGTGTTGTGAATTACAATTGAGTGTTAGGGTTGAGATTTTCATCACAAACTGACGTAAACTCCAATGCATGAATCCTAAAGCATATCCTGATCCTACTCGTCTCATAATAAGTCATTTATTAACCTTCGGCATCTCCTAAATGGCCGAAACGGTTAGCACCTCAACGTCGTTCAACAATATACTTCAGGTTTACTGAATACTGTTTGCACTGACCGTTGATGTACTCACAGGATTGTTCACATTCCACAAAAATACCGTATAATTAGTGTAAAGGTTCGGTGACTTCTTTCTGAACAAAGTCAAGATCTGATAAATTCCTATATTGTGAATTAAAACAATATATATAAGTGAACAATACTGTTTTCGATTACATCCTAATCAGGCATTACTCTAATCTAAAGTAATTTTTATATACATATATGAAATTATTAAACCAATCAAGGCAGTTAGTTGATGTCAGTGATAACAGTCGAATAGATTACATAAATAAACATAATAAGTGAAAAATACGAATTGATATTGTGATGACACGTGTACTAGTTGTGATAAGAATAACGAAGGATTGAATCGATACTTCATAGTGGGAACGATATATATACAAACTGAAATAAAAATTAAATGATTATGTAATAAGATGACTGGACAACGAAGGGTTAGTAAAAAAAGATGGGAGGGGGTGGAGAAATATAAACGAACAGAGCATAAAAAATAATAATCCAGCTGACAAGTCATAAATAGGACGAAACGTGCGTCCTGGATTCAATTGCTATCCATCATCCATCTGTGCTTATAACGCTTGTGAATTAACGCAATATCGAGGCAATCCATACATGATGCACATATGCCGATAAGAGACTGATCAATTGCAGACCTAAACATAAATAGGAAGATTCAAACAATCAATACAAAGTGAATTCAAAATCTTCATTTACTAGTACTTATTTATTTATTCATTTGAACACATAAATATTGGTACAAGAGGGCACCAAATATATATGCGCCACACGAATATGATGAAATGTCGATATTTATGGAAAATTTACTAGTACACCTGTCATCACAATATCAATTCGTATTTTTCACTTATTATGTTTATTTATGTAATCTATTCGACTGTTATCACTGACATCAACTAACTGCCTTGATTGGTTTAATAATTTCATATATGTATATAAAAATTACTTTAGATTAGAGTAATGCCTGATTAGGATGTAATCGAAAACAATATTGTTCGCTTATATATGTTGTTCCAAAGTCAAGGTCATTACATAACATGTAATATTTCAAAACACCACTCTTGATGACTTTGATAAAACTCTACACATCGTGACTCGACAATTTTCATAAAAAAGGCTATCTAGCTGCCACTAGGACTGATTGGGAAAAGAGGTGATCAGTAGTTAATTTCATGTTTCCCATAAACTGTAAAGTGTACTTTGATAGAATTGTAAATTACTTAGCATCCTTTATTATTTCTATTATTTTTATTCTTCAACCCACATTTCCACATTAAGATGCCGTCACTTCGTTTTGTGTGGCATATTTCTTTACTATCAATAATGCCGAGCATTTTTAGAGTGATAAGTAAACATTATAGATAAATATTTACATGATTTCTAACACTAGTTTTTCCGACCTGAAGTTGGTCACTCAGGCATCCGATTACTTCGATTTAAAACCCAGGGTTCGAGCCCCGCGTGGCGCGGGATCGTGGATGCGCACTGCTGAGGAGTCCCATACCAGGACGAAACGGCCGTCCAGTGCTTCCAGGTTTTCAATGATGGTCTAGCTTCAACTGACTCATGATTTCAACCTGTGAAATTTCTAAAACTCTCCATAAAACCCATTCTGATAACGCATGTACATTTATGGTCTTCTCATCCTTATTCCCTGGTCCAATGACAGCTACTAGAGTACGTTTAGGACAGATCTGGGATGGATTCAATACAATCGCTTAATCTAGTCAAATGAATGTGTCACAGACAAATCACTTTTGTGAAAGATGATTACCTGGGAAGCACAACACACGGGACACCTTCAACAAAACCTTCAGTAAGAAAACTTGATGGATTTCCGAATGGAGTAGTTACTGTTCGCACTTTTGCTTCTTGTAATAAATCTGGGTCGTCGAACCCAGAACCTCCAATAATTCCAACCTGATATGTAAACAACAGTAAGAATAACTGCATTTTAGATAGGGTATGTCTGAAGTTTTATCAAACATACTTGAAAATAAATTAACACAACTGTAGATCATATTAAATTATAAATCTACAAATTGTGGAGATCTGTTAAAACCAAATATTTATTATCGACACAAACCATAAGCTTTTAGAGAAATATGTAAACACAAAATTTTTAATAAAGACGTAAAAATATATCAAAGTTTTGTAACTCATTTAAATGAGACAGTTTACCCAATAATCATCTTTTAAACTTACCATATACCTGGAAAAAAATATAAGTGAAAAATCCACAGAATATCATCTCGACAACCGATAGCTTTCCCAACCTTTCGAAGAATATGATACTATTTTTACTGAGATATAGATATTCCTTTCTCAATGTGGTTTACCCAATTGCTTATTTGAAAATATAATCCACTAGAAACCAACCTCATATACATTCGTCAAAATTTACATTCGTTCAAATATTTGTCTCGAGATTTTATTGAAACCACTTTCAAGTCATATACTGACACCATCAGTATATGACATGGTGTCGTGGCATGAAAGAAAGCTGCAAACATTTTTCCTGCGCAGAAGTTTTATGAAACTTAGCAGATGAGGAGGTCATGATGGGCTTTGAGACGATAGATACTTAAATCAGTATATCTTTTGCAGAAACAGATGGTCTGATTTGCGGTGCTCATTCCTAACTAGTAAGTACAGATAAGCGGATTGCAAGTAATCCTTCTAGTACGTAGTAACGTAGAAATTCGGTTGCTTCTTGAAAGCATCAAAAAGTGCCAGGCACTAAATGTTCAAAACAAATATCCAGGTTTAAATAATTGGATCACTGGTTTTTGGACTTCGTAGGGTGTTTTTATAAGTCATCATTCCGAAATGGAATGTAATTAAAAAATGCACATTTTTCAGGAATATTACACCCAAAATATAAACATCTACCTTGAATATTTAAACAATATGACCGTAAGTGTAAAATACACGCGAAATTGTTATTTTGAAAATTATGTAAGATCGAAATCATTTGTCACCTTTTGACTTATAAGATAAAAGATCCAGTTTATGTTTGGTTGTTCTGGTTTACATTTTTGACATTTCATGTAGAGTTTGGTCCTGGAATGACTAAGTGTATAGCTAACGAGAGTATGAACACCTTCCCCAAACTCGCATACGCGATGCTTTCTAACTTGAAATAAAAGATTTTATCACTGGTTACCAATATTGAAACTATATGATAAGTTTAATGTGTGTATGATACGCCATATGTATAACGACACAATCTCCTGATATTAGAGGAAATTTTGTGGTTTTTTGTTTTACTAGAGATCCCCCGAAATTGAGAGATTGGAAGGTCCTGCAAATTAAATAGGACTTCTCCAAAAATATGTCAGTTTTTGAATGTTTTCCTTAAATATAGGTTACCGAACTAGACACTACAGAAGAAACACGTGTATTTCATATCTCTTCTGTTTAATTTTAAACCATGTAACTGCATAGTACTACGGACGCTGGTATGTACGCTACATATTAATATCTTCAGTTCCCAACGGTAATAGGTTTATACATTTATATTAATCCTAGCAAATTGTAACAATGTGGGGGTCCGATTTCGCTTTGAATGTATCAAAAAAATTGCTGATATTACGCGTTCCAGTAGACAATTCCAGTAATTCACTACTTGGTGCGAGAAACAGAACTCAAGACGTAAACGAGTTGATCTCGGTTTTTCAACTTCCTTAGAATTTCCTCTCAAATGACCAGTCCTAGATGGAAGGAAACGATAAGACATTATCAAGATCATCGCTCAGTGTACGACAAGCGAACATTAAATCACCCCGTAACCTGTGGTAAGACAGTGGGAATAGGTTGGAGCGTCGCAGACTATTTTCATAAGATAGGCTAGAGAATGCGACCTCATGAAAGTCGGGCATAATACCCCGAACATTTTTTCGTCTTAGTACTTAAATGACTCACAAATAGCCCACAAGACCTCGGAAGCCTTTAGCAGAGTTATATAAAGAGGGACCTAAGTTTGAACCAAGACGTACGAACTTGACTAAAGAAAAAGAAGTATGAATAACTGCATAGTTAAATATAGGTACCTCTCATTAAATCGACGACTTCCAGGAAATGGGAAATCTCATTGATTTTATTGAAAAACACAAATACCTTCGAAAAACCTAACCTCCTTATTTTGGGGTTTCTGTGCTATTTCCCCAAGTTTCCATAACGGCTTCCCCAAAATAGAGAGGTTTGGAAATATTTGTGAAAAACTGACACTGCGGGGAATTTTTTCGAAACGCGAAGGACAGAAATAGATTTCTCCAAAGTTTGGAAAATTTTGGAGAAACTGTGGAAATATTAGAGAAAAACCAAAAAATTCAACCATTTGGATAAAGGGTGTTTTGGGATTTTAGTTTATGTCATTTCGAAATAAAAACCTTAAATCTAATTTTTAACCCAAACCACCAATTGTAGATCATAATTCTTTAACGTCGCTCCAAGGTCGCCCATAAATTAGTCTCACCAAAAATATATTGACTGGTCAATGAGTAACATTACATGCATAAAACATAGCTCACCTTAACTTCCGACATTTAGACTAGACACGTAAATGAAGGACTTGGGAAACACTTGTGTCGTGTTATCCGTAACTGCCATTCGTAGACCCGCTAACCACTAACCAATCAAATAAATGAGATAACAGTGAGTCCATATACATAATCTTTTCGATATCTAATATATTTGTCACGAGATTGTGTAAACTTACGGACTTTTTTAATTCACTTATTGTTGTTTCAGAACGGTTACAGGTATTCGATAATGTCCAATTGGTGGTAGTCTGACCTATTTACCAGACCCACTCTAATTTTCGTGGTATACATCTGTGAATTTTTATATCTTGTGGTTGAGTGAATGTATTTGTCTTAGAGTAATAGGGTTTCTGGATGTCATTTGCTACCACATTACCAGTCGGCAGATTGATTGGTTGGTTGCAATGTAAAAGTGATAAAACAATTCTAATGTAATAATAAGACGATTGCCTCAATAATAAATATCTTACTCGGTTTTTAATATGTAGGAAGACGGAATCGAAGTAATAATAGAGAAAGCAGTGGTGGTAGTTAGGGAGGTAGGAAGTATTCACTGATATGTGATAATGACGACCGTGTTAATGTATGAGACATGCATCGGACAGCGTACCTGGATGTTCCTAGTTTACTCCTTAGTCCTGGAGTGATCTACATTTATGAAGAGAACACAACTGATGTAATGGGAACATTTATTATTATTCCAAACCGTACAAGTGATTGCTGTACCTTTTTGTTTAATTGTAGCAAAGACACACTTCCGTTGTTTGTGACCTTGAACTTACTGACGTAAGCACGGTAGTTCCTGTAAACTTTATCGCGATCTCAGTATGTGTGAAAACTTGTGATGTGAAAATTCGATTGCTACGAGAAGACTGTTTCACGGAATAAATAATTACGAAAGTTAACCGATTAGTATTGCGGACTGTGCTAGAATACGGAATTGTAAAAACAAGAGGATAATCGAAGATGATAATAGGTGAGATAGAAACAAGCTTGCAACACATGATAATTATGACAGTAGAAAGGTTACGCGACTAACACCAGGCACATGTCATTAAGGAGAATGAGATAGTAGATAATCAATCCACCGTGAGTGTGAAGTGGCATTGGACGATAACCACACAACCCTCAAAGCCGAATACGAGGCAACTCGAAAAATAGATATTCGATAATTAACGCGGAGAAATACCTACCGATGGAGAAGGCGAGAATAATGTGTTGAATGAATTGGAGTTGATCCGATGGCATGGCTCGGCCGTGCAGGCGTGGTCTGTAGTGGCATTGGACAATAGCCACACAATCCACAAAGCTGTGAATACGAGACTACTCAGAAAATAGATATTCAATATTTAACGCGGAGAAATACCTAACAATGGAGAAGGCGCGAACAATGAATTGAATGGACTGGAGTTGATCGAGTGGCATGGCTCGGCCATGCAGGCGTGGTCTCTATTCATATTAAATATATTGTTCCTTCTCTAAAATAACCTTGTTCTTGTTCATGTATTGGTAATTGATACGATACAGTGAGTTGGCGTAGTCGATGGTGTGACTTCCACGTAAGATCTTATAGATTAGGCAGTTATGTCATGACGAATCTACAAATTTAGGATTAGGTCTATTATTAGAGCAGTACTAATATCATAGTAGACCATAATTCTACATTGGTGAGCCCGACTAGAAAAACGCAACCTATTATTAATCCTTATTTCCACTTCAACTTTCTCGATCGATTTTATATTTATGTTAACCCTGTATTCCAATAGTCCTCTGATTAATGCTCACATGCATTATCGTAATGTTATATTGATTAGTCCTCATGACAAACTAGCTCAATCGATAATAAAAACTGGTCGTCTATATTAACTAATTAGCTTTGATGATTTGTTAACAAGCTGTAATAGCATTTACATGCTTCAGCGACATAGTCTTGTTTAAACATCAAGCTCTAGCAAATATGACCTGTAAAAAGCGTAAATATACATTGACTAACAATGCGATCAAGGACTAAATAGTTATCTGGATCTAATTCTCAGTGTTCCTTCACTTAACACCTCATCCTGTTTTAAACGATGCACTGTCCTGTAATATCTTTTCTTCTGACCACTGCCTGCCTAATTTCATATTCTCGAGTTCCATTGCCAAACAACGAGGATGACTACTCCAAAAACATACGGTGAGTTCCAGCTATAAGTTTTCTGCAATCATAAGTTCATTTTAGATGGCACACAATTATCTGGATTCATTCAGTTGTTCTGATCAGAGCGAGTCCCAAAAACCTCAACAGCATCAAGCACCCTGGAAGTGATTGCCATACTGCATGTTTTATTCTGGATGCTTTTGGATCATTACTCCTCACGAATGGCGTTATATATGTCGTCCACTGAATAATCTAATTTTCAAAAATAATCCAGGCGAGTTCAACTATTTTACTGGATGATTTTTTTTGTACTTAGCATGTATATGTTTTTCAGTTGCTTTTGCCATATATTTGTAAGTGTCACTAAGCTAAATGCAGTAACTTCTTATGGAAGGTTTATAACGCATCATATTCCTGCCTAAAGTTTCACAAGCAGTCTTAACTTTAAAATTATTTTCTGGTCATGTTCATTATTTTTAAATTTTTATATACGTCAACAACCTGCATGTTAACCTGGCCCGTACATACGTTTTACTATATCTTCATATCTTTTGAATTTAGAAATCATTTGAATCGCCTTTAACATTTATCAATAAACCCATCATAGTCGTTGTTGCTAATCGTATTTGGCTTTATGGATTGGTTTATCATAGTAGCAGCCTAAAATGCAGACATAGTTTAGATAATAAGATTAAAAATTTAGGTACTATCAACTGCACTAGTGAAATAACTAAATCCCCAAGTAGCTGTTGGTTAAACAAACGTTCAAAATCAAAACTCCGTAGCCTACTAGAATTAACACTAAACGAATATTTCTAAATTGAAATTTATAATAAAATTAGGCGTCTCGGATTCTTTAACGTTATAAATATCTGATGATTTTGAATCACCTAAAGCAACAATACCTATTTTTCCACTGGCTAATCCTTAATCAACACTATAAGTAGTTAAACATAATAGTTTCAGGATATCGTCATAAAGCATTGTCATGACAATCACGTAATATGATTGATAAAATTAATGAGACTATTAACAAAATCGGTCAGCAAATTGACTTATAATTATCACTAGTGTTGTTTTTCTTTTATCTTCATTCACTACGAATGATTACAGTATGTTTCTCTATCAGTTGCTCATTCAGTAAATATCTCAAAACCTTGTAAGTCTAATTAGAGGTTTAGCGACACAATCATGCATGCAAATAATCAATATAAGCAGTCGAGCAAATCTCCTGCAAACTGAAAACATCAATGTCGAATTTACCCCAACACTGACTAAGGTTCAAGCCATTATCATAGACGTGAGTTGGGAGTGTACTCCCCTTGGTTACAACTTGTGTTCTTCCTGATAATCACATGAGCATCACTCACTGTTAATCATCTTGTAAAAGCTTATTTAGCCGAATACATCCTGCGGCACCACATCACTTCGTAATATGACACAGGCCTAACTGATTTTAATAACCTATAACCACTATATCTCAACTTAATCTTATTCCGACTTATGATAAACTGCATACTTGCAACTAACTTGTATGCCCAATCAGCCAGCAAGTATAAATATAAATAAATAGTCTATTGCAGATCAGAACATTGAGTCCAGAGCATGTCTCTTACGAATACACTCATGTTTAGCGATTTGTTCCTAGCTATCTGTCCAAAATTCATATAATTATCACTCACGTATTTAAATTTTATTTTGATAACCATTCATGTGTATTAGTAGTATTACTAAGTTCTATCACGGTCAAGTAAAAATGAAGTTGAGAAAATCTCCCCGTAACTAAATAAACCGTATCAAACTAACTGGAACACTAGTTGGAATTCTTTTCCATGGTAATACTTTTGTTCTTCCAGTTAGCCTACTAATACAGATGCAAATGGAATTCAACTCATATGGACGGGTTACCGGCATAATTGTTAATTGGTTTCATGATTTAAACCAAAACTAATACCAATATTAACATTTCTACAATATTCATTACTTTAATATTTCTAAACACAAAATACTTACTACCTATACGTCAAGTTATTAACCAACGGCTATTAACACGCATTGTATTATTATTATTATTGTAACCCCATTTTTTTATAGCTTAAATAATCTTCACCCAGATTTTCATTTCAAGCGTTTTAAACATGAAGGCAGATATTTTAAGATTATTACATGTATTTCCCGACCAGATGCTGCCGCTTTCTTTTTGATTTATCTTTCAGCTTACCAATACCCGGAGGATTCTTATTATCCTTGGTAACCTCCGGCGCGCGACGATCCCATCCAATTTGGTATCGAACCAACATCACGTTGATTCTGGTGGGAGAGTAGTGTAGTGGCATTGGACAATAGCCACACAATCCACAAAGCTGTGAATACGAGACTACTCAGAAAATAGATATTCAATATTTAACGCGGAGAAATACCTAACAATGGAGAAGGCGCGAACAATGAATTGAATGGACTGGAGTTGATCGAGTGGCATGGCTCGGCCATGCAGGCGTGGTCTCTATTCATATTAAATATATTGTTCCTTCTCTAAAATAACCTTGTTCTTGTTCATGTATTGGTAATTGATACGATACAGTGAGTTGGCGTAGTCGATGGTGTGACTTCCACGTAAGATCTTATAGATTAGGCAGTTATGTCATGACGAATCTACAAATTTAGGATTAGGTCTATTATTAGAGCAGTACTAATATCATAGTAGACCATAATTCTACAGGTCCCTCTGGAATGTTACCTTATATCTTCTATTCATATTAATATATTGTTCTTTCTCTAGCCTAACCTTGTTCTCCATCATGTATTGGTAATAGCTACGATGTAGTGAGTTGGTGTAGACGATGATGTAACTTCCACGTGAGATCTTATG